TTTGAAACGGAAACTTCTTCTGAATCCGGAGATCGGGAGGGCGAATTCTCGGAGTGAGGGAAATGTGGTCGCTCCAAATTGGCCAATGACGTATGAGTGTTGACCCGCCGTCGCTCTCCCGTGAAAATGGGTTGGGAAATTGTGGGTGCAGCCGCGCCCCCGGCTATCAAACGCTCGTGGTGGGACAGTGTCGTTGCGCCATCCTCGGACCCGTGCGCGAGTGCATCTGGCGGCCCTCTCCTGGAAGAGGGAACTTCTCGCTGTCCGGGCGCGTCGGTGCTTCCAATGCACTGATGCGTGCCTCTCTCTCCTGGAGTTGGGCAGGGGTTGTCCCCAATTGGCTTTCGCGCCCTGCAAGCGCCGATTCTCGTTGCGCAAGAAGACCGTCCGCCACTGCAGTGTTGGACGCACGTGCCGAAAAGTGGTTATTCGCTTCCTCCATTTAATGTTGAAGCTGCGCGCCTCGATTCCGCACGTCCGCGACTGCGTTGTCCGACTTTGATCTCCGCCCTTCCGCGATGGTCAGCCCTTGCCGCGCCTCCAAATTATGGGCAGAAGCACTTGAACCCAAAATTTGGTAATTGACACGCCCGGCGGTTCGCCAAGTGCCCCGCATGAGTCGAATCCTCCCAGTGCTTGGCGATCTTTGCTGAAACCAATCGTAAACACGTCATGGTTGCAGCGACAGTCACCACCGCATCCAACGGCCTGTTTTCATCAAAGAAGGTGAACTGCAACTGTATCTCGCCATGCTGGCGTGCCAAGTCCAACATGCGCCAATGTCGCTGCACCCCGTCGCCGTGTAAAAGAAGCCACTGCCATTCCTTTCAATCAACATGCAGGAATCTGGTATGGTTGTAAAAATAAAAAATAAGAAAGATAAAAAAAAAACAATTTCGTCTGGCAGCTGTCGGCACCCTGACTCCCTCAATCGCGGTCTCCCAAAAGACCGTACGATAAAAAATTTGTGAAGAGATGTCTTCGTTTGTGCGAGATATGAATTTATTTGGGCAGCCAGTCAACCTCAGAAGCATTCTTTTCACAAAATCCCATGAAAATACAAAAGAATTCTGCGGCCTTCATATTTCACAGAAGCTTCTAATGGCAATGGACTCCTTAACAAAAAAAAGTAAAATAGAAGAATTTTATTGCTGTGGCACCGTGGATCATAATGATTCTCTCTCACAAGAAACTCTCTGAATAAACCCGGTGGCCACAAAAAAAAAAAAATTAATAATCGCTAAAACACTTCCTAATATATTTACCAGAACGAAATGCACTTTGTTCCCCAATTATTTCCCTAACTTTCTTCCCTATCCCTTTCCCCCAAGATTATTGTGCTCCCATTTCTCGGATTTTATTTACAAAATCAGGTGTTAATACAAAATGGTATTGG